CCCAAGTTGGCTTGAGGCCAGACACGCGTTTCTACCGGACTGGAGACTTAGCAAGATTCGCGCCTGACGGATGCTTGGAGTACATTGGTCGCAAAGATTCTCAGGTCAAGCTTCATGGGCAGCGGGTGGAGCTGGGTGAGGTCGAGCATCATCTACGAAAACTATCGTCATACCGTTCCGCAGAAGTGGCAGTGGAAATTATTACATCGGACCTAAACGGCCGGAGTAATACAGTTCTAGGAGCTTTTGTTAGTATGAAGTCTCTTGGATTAGCGCTAGACATGAACGGCTGTTCAAAGGATCCTAAAGCACTCCTCAGTAACAATATATGTGTTGGGGCTTTACAAGAGTTCAGCACGGCCGCAACCGAACTGCTCTATTCCGAACTGCCAGGCTACATGGTCCCTACTGTATTTCTACCCATCTATGAACTACCCCTAACGGTAAGCGGTAAGCTCAATAGAAAGAAACTCCGAGAAAAAGGAACAGAATTGTTGCAGATTCAGCGACAGCAGGAAAAGGCACCAGCAATCACCGAGGAGCCCTACTCAAGCTTGACTGAAGCGGAACAAACACTGAGAACCTTATGGGGGGATGTTTTGCAAATGAGGCCTGAGACGATTAGTGCAGATGACCATTTTTTGAGGTTGGGCGGGGATTCAATTGCCGCTATGCGTCTTTCTAGCCTTGCTCTGGAGCATGGCATCTCCTTGCTCGTTTCAGATATTATGAGCAACCCAGTGCTTCGTCAGATGGCTGTTACGTTACAGGGCGTGACACACAAAAAACGGTAGTTAAAGCTATAACGTGAGTACATAGCGAGTGAGACAGCTACGCACCTAATCGAGCGGTCCGCCCTAATGAACTTTCGGAGCTTTCATACGTAATTAAATACTTGACACACAACCTTATGCTACAACTAGTTAACTAAGATTAGATGTAATTAGTCGCTAGTCTCTTCTGTGTCTTTCTTACACGTGCGCGAGTTGTGCCCTATCTCGCTGCATTGCATGCGGTGCCTTTTACACTGCTTGCCTGCACCTATTCGGGCCCTACCCCCTACGCGTTTCCCCGTCTACCTGCGCTCTAACGTCTACTTAGTTCAGCTATCAAATCCTCTGCCTATTCCTTCCAGAGATCTCTAAGGTCCGTCCCTGTGTGCCGAAAAACCCTATGTGCCGAAAACGACCAATCAAATCGCAAGGATCATGGACTTCCCTCTAAACATCGCGATCCGATTGGTCGTTTTCGGCACATAGGGTTTTTCGGCACACAGGGACGGACTTTATACGACTATCCATTCAAATTTCTTTGGCAGCTTTATATGTAAGTCATGTACAACTGCCTAGACGATCTTGCAATGACAGCCTTTTAGGGTGGCTTTACAGCCTCATTTCAAGATTGCTGAAATGGTACTCGGTAGGGCATGAGATGAACTCAGGCATGGGGTGCACGGGCACATTGATAAAAAAGCCTTCTTGATTCGGTCTAAAAAGGCACTCAGCACTCCAAAAGCACAAAAGCAAGGATACGGATTCTGGAAAGCAAAATTAAGGTCCGTCCCTGTGCAGCGAGAAACTGTGTGCAAGAACAGCCAATGAGACACAACGCTTTGTTGCGAAACCTGTCATCTTGTCAGAATATGGGCATATATTAGGTAGTTGATAAAATCCGGGTGATGATAAGACTACCCGGAACTCTGTGATCAGTCAGCGTGCACGATCCACCGCGATCTCACTCAGGGGATCAGGGAGATTAGAGAGAGATGAAAAAAAAGGAAGATCAATCAACAGACTAATCGATCAAGACAATAAAACACAGTTAATCCCGTCTTTGACAACCCATCACAATCTGACACATCTCTACAGTTTTATTGGCCGTTCTCGGCTCACCGGGTTTCTCATTGTACTGGGGTGGACCTGAGCTAGATGTGATAGAAGAGATAAATAGTAATGTCAATCCTCGCGTGCCGGGACGCCCGGTGTAACGGGACACTTTTTCTTCCGGAAGCCCGGCATGCTCACACGATATATGTAAATCCGCCGGCACAGTGTCCATCTATTCTCTAGCACTCGTCCCCCTACTGCATCCCTACCCGACATCAGAGAACGCGTTGCCAACTGTGCTGTCGACCAACCCTCTCTAAGAACCCCCCTGCTCGTTTGCGGCTACGTACAGTCGCCAAGAGCTCGGCGGGTCAGAGAACGAGCTGAGAAGGCGAAGATGAAGACTGCCGCCTTAGAAAGTCAATTTAAGGCATAGAGTGTGCAGTCTGGCAATTTCTCCGTGCGGACGGCCACCGAACACCAACTTTGTGATTTTATGGTACCCTTCAAAACAATTCAATTTTTGTTAGAAATCATTCCTAAAGCGCCTAATAAGGCAACTCACAACTCATATCGGGCCCAGCCCTCCCTCTGACAGAGAGATGGCGGTGCCAGGTACCCCAGGGCAGACACTTCGACCTCCAGAAGTCACGCACACGCGCCCTGAGGACCCAAATACCCCTAGCCTAGCTAACCTACGCACTACGAAAAGACACAGGCAAGCCGAAGCAGCGCCTATACCTATATCGTTCGGTGATAGTGCTAACAAGAGACAACTGGTGACGGGCGCGGTTACAGAGAAGATCACGGCAGCCCAAGCGGCCGCCAAAACTAGACACAGCATCATCACAGCTATTGCGAACGCGATCGATCATTGCCTAGAGAACTACACTAGCGCAGCTGAGCGCCTAGTCGCACAAGAACTACAGCAACGTGTGGTGTATGCCCTAACTAACTCTATCCACCACCCATCCACGACCACCCCCCAGCCTGCGAGCGACGCCGGGCCTAAACCTACACGCACATATGCGGACGTCGCAGAACTCCCCAACAGCCACCCTATGCAGAAAAGGGGCGCCGCTATAACCAAGACGGCAGCGACCCACCGAAACGGCGTAACCCTGAATAAGCCGCCGAATAAGCCTATACCAGATAGCCGAATTCTTTTCCAGCTATCTACAGCACAGAGAGTAAAAGATCCTTCGCCCTTTGTAATGCGAAAAGCACTATGCGCAAAGATTGATAACCTCATTCTGCAAGATATCCCAAGACTCACAACGACAAAAACAGGCTGGGCACTCACACCAGCCAACGACGCTATCAAGAGCCGACTGCTGCAGCTAGATAACGTTGAAGTCATGCTAGAAACTCTAGGTGCAGTCGGATTCCAGCTCCCGGAGAAATGGATCAACTATGCAGTGCAGCGTGTAGAGGCGGCTCTCATAGGACTCCACATAGGCGGAGACGCAGCAGTACTAATCAGCGAAGAAAATGTTGCAGAGGAAGTTTATTCCCAGACATGAGTAAAGCCGCGAACCTGCAAGCAATCTAGACACGGCCCAGACAGGTTTGGCACGATGACCTGGATAATATCCTTTGCCGAACGAGTACGACCATTCCGGATTTTTGGAATAAGTGAATGGGCAAAAGAGATAAAGAAAAACCCGCCAGTGGCCATCCACAACCCGGGATGTCAGGGTTACTGCAACACGTCTAGGTGCACACGTGCAGCACGCTGCGACAACTGCGGCCAGCTGGCGGCAGGGCATACCGGGCCCATAGGTACAGGCTGTACACAGCGAGCCCGCTGTGCTAAATGCCATGGACCACACGCCGCGACGGATAAAAACTGTCCAGCGAAACCATACTACTACCAAGGCAAGCTTATCCGGCTAACAAGCAAGCAGCTGCAGAGTGTACGCAGAGCTGGACATCGTGCCTACCAAAGAACCGGCTAGAACCAGGACAAAGGAGACACGGCTGCCGAACCTATTGTCATCGCAGAAAAACAGCTAAGCCAAAATAGTTCACTTGCGATCCAGCAGCCGCCACTGCGAGCTACGCAATCAAGACAAGCAAAAAGAGCTCAACAAGAAGAGACAATAATAGGAACAGATACCGCTACAGCCACAATCACGCCAATAGACACCGATACAATTATAGTCACAACTACAGCATCCCAGAACCATCAGAGCCGTCGCCCATGTCTTGCTGCAGCCCCAAGAGAGAGTCTAAGTCTAGCAACACTCTCAACAAGAAGCCTAAGGACAGAGCAGACGGTGTCTACACCGACAGAAGCCATGATACAGGCTGGCCTATCCTCTACCATAGAAGATACAGAAATGAGTGAAGACGCACTGCAATGATAGGACGTCAACCGATACGATACAACGGGCAGCACTGCCCAGGCTGGAAGCAGCTACGAATAGCATGGACGAACGTAGGCAAAGCCTCGGAATGCCACGACACTATACTGTGCCGCGCCTCAGATGAAAACATCGACGTAATATGCATCCAGGAGCCATGGACACTACCAGGAACCGTAACTAAAAACCATCCAGGGTACCACATGCACGCGCCTGTGATAGCATGGGATAGCAGGGAGGAACGTGAGAACGAAAGACCACGGGTGCTTACCTACACCCGCAAGGGCGTTAATTTAAGGGCTAAAGTGCTACCTAGAGTCACGCGAGACATACTCTGGACAGAAGTGAACAGATACGCTAATACTTAACGTGTATCAGAACCGAGAGGCACCAGAACCAGCAGTCACTTATATACAGGAACTGACACCACCAAGCAGATGCGTTATTGGAGGGGATATGAATGCAAGGCATGAGAGTTTCGAACCTGGCTCGGTGACCACGGGAGGCGGGTCAGAGCTCGCACGCTGGGCCCAGACTCACGCCATGGACTTCATCGGGCAGCCAGGAGTGCCAACTCATCGAGCTGGCCACGTAATAGACCTAACATTCTCAAACATTCCCTTTGCCGACACAGTGATACGGCTGGAGATGCACTCTGGCTCAGACCACGCAACACAGGTCACGACATTACCAACCCGAGGACTAGCAGCAGAAGATCCAAAGAAGCATAAAGTACTAGAGAGACACCTGGAGAGGTTCACAAAACTAGTAGGCCTAAATATCACAGGTATTAGGGATCCGGCAAGAGCTAGCAACCAAAGCCAACTACAAACAATAATCCAGGACCTTACACAAGCGATAGAAGAGGCAATCCAGACAGCAGGGGTTAGAGAGAGGGAACAAATCCAAGTGGCGCCATGGTGGACGACAGAATGCCAGACAGCGTACCGGCGGCACCTGCGAGACCATATGGGAATAGGAACTCCACCAACAGAGGCAACCAGAGAGTTCCTAAAGACAGTGCGCCGAACAAAGAAGGCCTACTGGTGTGACAGGATAGACGGCATCAAGACAGATTCAGACCTCTACAGCCTAGCCAGATGGCACAAGCTATTACCAAACCAACAAGACTCCCCACTAGTGGTAAATGGTGAAACCATCACAGATACTGCAGAGAAGGCCGAGGCCCTGCGCAGAGAACTACTGGACCGATTCAACAACGCAGATGATCTGCCAGCACCACCAGGAGCAGAAAACTACACTCAAAACCCCCTACCGTGGGATACTAAGGTATCGACTGAAGAAGCAGAGCGCTATGCTATTGGCGTAGCTAGCACATCGCCAGGTGCGGACGGAATAACGGTACGGCTACTAAAGGCGTGCTGGGCAGATATCAGGAACCTCGTTCGCGCAATATATCAGAGATGCCTAGAGCTAGAGTTCTACCCAGGTTGCTGGCGCGTAGCAGAAGTAACAATGATACCAAAAGCTGGAAAGAAAGACCGTACGTCAGCACGGTCAATGCGGCCCATAGCCCTACTCTCATGCATTGGCAAGGGGTTGGAACGCCTAGTGGCAAGAAGAATCGCTACAACAGCAATGACGCACGATATTATCAGCCCACAGCACGTAGGAGCTGTCCCAAGGCGGTCAGCTATGGACATTGTAGCGGCATTCACGCACGACGTAGAGCAGGCTTTGGCAGTAGGCAAACGCGTCACTATGGTCACGATGGATGTGCAGGGAGCATTCGACGCGCTTCTCAAGAACCGGTTACTACACCAGATGGCTCAGCAGGGCTGGCCACCAGCCTGTGTCCGGTTTATTGACTCTTTCCTATCAGAACGCTATGTACAGGTGCGGCTAGGCAACGAGATCACACCACGCCACCTAGTAGCCTGCGGCACACCACAAGGATCTCCGCTATCGCCAGTTCTCTTCACGCTTTATCTAGCCGAGCTTCTGAATCAGGACAGAACGCTACGCTTCGGATATGCGGATGACATTAATATCTACAGAGCGTCAAAAACCCTAGACGAAAATGTCCAGTTACTAGCAGAAGATATACAGGCAATCAACCAGTGGGGTGCACAGAACAAGGTTACCTTTGCCCCAGAGAAACTAGAAGCGATCCACATCACCCGCCAGCAAGACAGCTACTCCCCAAGCATACCTTTACCCGACGCAGCAACGCTAGAACCAATTGCGCCAGCTGCAGACAGATCGCAGACCGCAATACGATGGCTCGGAGTGTAGTTTGACCGCCAGCTTAGCTTTAAGCGCCACGTCGCCTATAGAGCAGCAGCCACCAAGAAGCTTGCTAGTCACCTAAGAGGCCTTGCGAACATAGCTCATGGCCCGCCCCCAGATGCTATGCGAAAATTAGTAACAACATGTGTATTACCTTCACTACTGTACGGAACAGAGGCCTGGTATGAAGGACGAACAAGAAACCTGAGATCAAAGAGGAAAGACAACCCTATCTCTGTCAGCACAAGAGTTGGACAACATATTACAGCTATCCAAACCATACTTATACAGGCTGTAAGCAGATTGGATAGAAGACCAACACCTTAGCCTTCTTAACACGCTAGGAGCTACTACTTTCTTTAGACCTAATATGTTTCGAGAAACAACACTAGATCTATCTATCGCTACTCTGGATCTAGAAGACAAAGTACAAGACTGGCAAATTACAACGGAACCTGGATCTGATCACCACGGAATACTCTTCTCAATCCAGATAACAAAGGACCTAGTTAATAACCCTACTAGCCAAACAAGATACAATACAAAAAGGGCAGACTGGGACCTGTTTAGAGAGGAGTTGAGCAAAGCTATCCAGAGTAACGTAGTGCTACAATCCCTGGATCAGATTAACCAACCAAGGAAAGCAGATTCAAGAAATCTACTCCTAGGCCAAGACAACGAGCTTAAGCTGCAGCTAGAAGCAATTGGCACAGCGATTACTCTAGTAGTCCAACAAGCCGCAGATAAAGCTATTCCACAACTAAAGCTAGGGCCAAAAGCAAAGCCCTGGTGGAGCCAGGAGTTAACTAAGCTACGAAGAAACGTATCTCACTGCC